AACAGACGTCGGACTTCTACCCGACGTCGGACCAAACAGACGTCGGACTTCTACCCGACGTCGGACCTTCACTCTTCCCCTAGTTTCTACCCGACGCTGGACTTCTACTGGTTATCGGACTTTACTGGACGTCTATGCAAAGATGCATTTTTTCCATTATTGGACTTCCACCTGACGTGGTCCTTCTGACCTTCGTCGTCAGACTACAGTCCTTATGACCTTCGTTGCCAGCCGACTACGGTCCTCCTGACTTATGTCGCATGCCGACTACAGTCTTTCTGACCTCCGTCGCCCGCCGATTACGGTCCTCCTAACTTACGTCGCCCGTCGACTACAGTCCTTCCGACGTCCGTCGCCAGCTGACTACGATCCTCCTGACTTCCGTCGCCCGCCGGCTACAGACCTTTCAACAAAGCGAATATGTCAATAGTAGCTCTTTGTATTTACATCATGTAATAGCATGTAATGTACTCTATAAGATGTACATCAAGCTAAGGACTTCTCCCAAGGAAGGGCGTCATTTGTAATCGACTGCAAATACTAGTGGATTCATTCAAAGTGGGCTAGGCCCCGTGGTTTCCCCCCCTTTTTTCAGGGGTTTTCCACGTAAAAATCTTGGTGTCTCATAAATGCTAGACCCTCTCTCTTATCTGATTGCGTGTCGGATTTTCGTACAACGCTAAAGACGATAAACTTTATATTTCTCTACCGCCGCGAATACTCCTGGACGTAACAAGTTCTAATATTTTCTTCCATGATTTTCATGACAGTTTAATTACACTTTTTTTTCTTGCTTAATTTTTTTATAAAAACTTTTCGTAATATATAGATATATAATATTATTTTTTAAATATTTAATTATTTTTGTGCTGTATTTGCCCCCCTCAAAATTGAAGCTGGTTCCGCCCCTACCTTAAAAGGATATATATTTGTTTTTTAATTATATTCTTTATATGTTTTTTTTTTTGAACGGGGGTATTTATTCATTGTCACTCTAAAGAGAGTGCTTAATCCGTCAGCGAAACTTACCGAGGCCACCCACACTTATTTTGCACCACTGAAGAGTCGAGATCATAGTAGAGGGCATTCGAATTAGAAATGGGGGGTTCCTAAGCCTCGGTGGTTATATTCTTAAAATATTAGAACGTGCCAATGAACTTTTGAAGATAGCAGCAAATCTTTCCATTTCAGATTTGCCAACAACAACAAAAATTTCAGTAATAAAGGTTTTATAAACATACCAATTTAACAGTAAAAAATAATTAGCATTTATTGTCCTGAAATATATTAAATGTACGAAATATAATGACAGATCGAAGCAATAATTGTATGGGCCAATTGCAAGGACAGCAATTAAGTCTTAATAAAGTACATGAGGATATGCCACTAATATGCATGTTGTCACCTCCATAAAAAAATGTAGAACATCCATAAATTCACATTTATAAGGCTTTAAATTCTTTAAAAAAATAATAATAATTTCAATTATCACATCAAAGTTTTATAATCTACATAAATATGATTATGATATGAATGAAAGTAGAATCATAGTAATGTTTTTTTCAAAAGAAAAAAAAATCATAGTAATGTTATGGAAGGAATTTGATTGTCTTGATCAATCTAATTGTTCAGTTGCCTCGAACCTCAAGTTTCATCGTGCTCATCGGGGGGTGTAGGCAGGGGCGGAACCCCTTGGTAGTCAGGGGGGCAATTGCCCCCCATAAAAAAAAAAAAGGAATTCTTTTATAAATTGATTAAATGATTTTTTAGATAATTTATGTCTTTTCATTCATTTTCTAGCCTTTATTACAAGGGTTTTTAGCCAACTTTAATCTACGCAGTTGATTAAAATTATCACCGCCAAAAAATTTTTTCTGTAATAATTACATCAATTAATTAAAAATTTGAACTAAATATGAGTTCAAGATCAATGTGCTTAATATATATCTTTATTCATTTATTTTATTATATATCAATAATATATTTTATATAATATAAAAAATATCATATAAATGTTATATAATTTAATGTATAAATAATCTATTTTTCATAAATTTCACATCTTTCACTTATGTCACTTCAGATCCAAGCTATTGGCAGAGTGCTAAGGCAAATTACTTATTATAGAAATTAGTAGGGGTGTCAATATTTGACACGACACGAAAATCCGACTCGAATCCGACCCAAAAATTTCGGGTTTGACCCGACCCGATTTCAAAATGGGTCGGGTTCAGGTTCTAGAAATCGACCAGTTTGAAAAACGGGTTGGGTTCCTGCCAGTGCACACTGCTGCGCCTGCCAGCGCCAGCGCCGACGCCCCGTGCCCGAGGCTGCCCGCGCACTCATCGGCCCGCGCCCACGTGTTTCGCCGTCCCGTGTCGGTTCGGGTCAATCAGGCAACCCGACGGGTCGGGTCAGAGTCCGGGTCCGGGTCTGCATTTCCGACCCATTTACATACCCGGGCCGGGTTATGGTTGACCCGTTTGAACCCGGTCAGTTCCGAATTTGACCTGAACCATACCCTTGACCTGAAATTGACAACCCTAAAAATTAGCAATTAGCAACATAGAAAGAAAGGCCTTATCAACATATCAATTTCATGAAACCTCCATTACCATCGCGTTAAATTTTGATGGAGATATCGCAACAAAATTTGCAATGAAATTATGCCTTCGCTTTCACTTTTCCTTTTGAACATTCAATCACATTTTTTGGGGAAATGTAGTGCGCATATCAGAGAAGGCAGAAGACAAAAGAAGTCAGACAAAGCTGTTTTTGTGATGAGATTCCTTTCCTATTTTGATGAAGAAGACGAGGTAAAGAACCGGGCAATGCCTGGAAGGCTTTCTTTGGGCTAATGTCAACATTGAGCCGGGCCTGATTCTTGCTCGGCCCAATTACATCTACAGTTTAATTTCTGACTTTGGAGCTCTTTGGGATCACAATTTATTTATTTTTATTTTGATGTGAAATAAAATAAATTTGATATTTTAAAAATATATTAATTTATTTTTATAGAATATTTAATAATTTGATTTGTATAGTGGTGGCAGATATCGTCGGCTATAAAACACGCATAATAATATTGGTGGTGATAATTCTTTTTTAAAAAAATCAAAATAAATTTTTAAACATAAAATAATTTGATTTATTTTTAATATTTTAAAATAAAAAAATGCTAAAGTTTTTTAAAAATTAATAAAATGTGATATCAAATTGACCCTTTGCAGTTTTAATTTGAGCTTCAATTCGGATAAATCAATAATCAAATGAACGATAAATATTTGATCTTTAGGTTAAGTTACAAATCAAGGATGCATTTATGCAATTATGTGTTCAAAGATGAGTATCCATACTTCCATACTTTTTTAGAGATGAATGATAAATTATAAAATATGTAATCTAAATTCATAATTTTATCTATTTATGAATTGGTTACTAACTCTTTTACATCATTTGGGTCTTTATCTTCTTAATGATGATTGCTAAGGGGTGCCTATACTTTATAGAAAAATTATCTTGAACAAAGCATCATAAGAAATATCATAGAATATCACTAGATGTATCTATAAGTTGGTGTTTGATCAAGCGAAGATTCCACATTGGTTGAGCAACACACCAATGATGAGTTGAATAAGCAATGTCAGCAGGTTCTGGAGTAAAGTGTGATGGAGGAGAAACTTCAATGTGAAGTTGCGGGTATCTTGTCCGACTATATTTTTTCAATTATTCATCTATATTTTGATGTTATTTTTGTTGCTAGCGAGTTCCATTATGATGTGTTTTTAATCTTTCTTGATCAACCTCTTCTAATATTTGAAGGATCCAAGCTTGTTGTTCTCTCCATCTATGTATATGACCATTTATAGGTCTTAGGATCCTACTCTTGAGTAATATGACGTACATGAATGGTAGGCAAGTTTCTGATTTGATGAACGTTGGAATAATAAAACACACTATCAATGATCGTATTTTATGCTAGCCTTTGCATTGCTAGGATATTAATTGATTTACGAGTTCCTACACAAGAGGACAAGCTCTTATATGTTAGAAAATTTAAGAAAGGAGAGTATGCATTTAATATCTTAATTTTGTATGAACATCCAACACATATAGGTAGAAGTTTTAAGATGTTAGAATTCTTTTACATGAAAAATTTAGGAATGGGTAAACCCACGAGGCATGACCTAGTTGTAATAATCCATTATAGTATTATTAGCACAAGAGTCAACTCTTCTCAACAATTGAAGAAGGCAAGATTAAATTATTAAAAAAAATTATCTTATACCTATTTTAGTCATTATAGAAGTCAAATGTCTATATCTGAATAGTTGAAGTCCAATAACAAGGTTAGATTAGTAGTAAAATAATAATGAAAAAAAATATGATACAAATTAGAGGTGATTGTTGATGGTACTCGTTAGTGGCCTTTATAAAAAACGCAACAGAGTTCTTTAGCTATTTTATCTCTCAAATTTTCTCGATGTAGAAAATGGAGCCCTATTTACAGCATTTCTAAAATGATTATTTTGATAAATTTGTCTAGAGTACAAAACTCTCCATCAAATATGCTACATTGATCCCTGAGTTTTAAATTATATGAGTATTTGAGTGCCTTAATGATGTCATAATCAGCTAATCTTATGCTCGTTAGATTTTTCATCTCAAGCCTCTTGATTTGAGTATAAACACAAAATTTGAAGAAGAATTAGTCATTCAATTAATGTTTAGGAGTTTTTAAATAGGCTGTAAGTACTTATATAGTTTTCGCTGGACTTGAATCAAAATAACTGTGGTGTTGATGTTTAGCCTCGTCGATACATTAAGTTTAACAATAAATTTATTGAAATTGGAGCTCAGTTGGTCATTAGGTTAGTTCTAAAAAATTTTAATTTAATTATTATTTTAAAATTCATGCTGATCAAATGATTTTTTAAGACATATATACAACACAGAGGGATATTTGAATTCCATTGTGATTATCATGCAAAAAGTAGCTTTTGATTTTACCAAAAATAAAATCTTAGGTCATTAATTTTAAAATGCAAGTTCAAGCTTTGATTACCATCTTTATGCCTCACAAATTTCAATCTTAGATCTCGCTAGTTCTCCAAATACCTTTAATTTCCGGCTTTTTCTTCGCATCTACAACTGCGGCCTCATGATTTCTTTGAAATTTTGTTCCGCGTCGTTGCACTGCGATGATTCACTGATCTTCTCATCAAGCCTTACTATAAATTTTATTATATTTCCATGTTATCTTCCGATTGTTAGTTTTGAGTTAATGTCGGTCTTCCTGCAGAGCGAAGATTTGGAGTTCAACTTGTAAGTAGCATTGCAGGTTTTTTCCATCTATACCTCACTGTGGAGTTAAGTCGATTTTGCTCGAAGAGAAGAAATTGAGTATAAAGGATTTCTCCGGCTCGATCAATCAATTGAGCGGAAGACGCCATGAATCAGGTATCTCAGTACTTTATTCAATTACTAAATTGTCCATCTAATGCCAATGATTCCACCGCTAAATCACTGAAACTACACTGCTAGGGTTTTGCTTTGCATGGAATGTGTATCTTGTACTTTTCTCTTATTCATTCATGGGGCTTTGCCAAATTGGTTGTAAGAATTGTAGAAGGAATCTTCTTTACCCACAGAATCTTTGTAATATTGATACTTCATCAAAATTTGATTTGATTCGGCATGAATCTTGACGCATAGTTGAATTAAAAATTGTAAACTAAAATTCATGACAACTTGAACTTTGATTTCAGTAAACTAGCTGTCAAACTCAACTGCTTTATGAGCGAACTCATCCACACTAGGAGTGATCCCATTGAAGTTTGAATGAGCCTAGATCAAATACTTGAAATATAATTAAAAATATTAGAAGATTGATCAGAGGACCAACCAACTTTTAAATCTTACATTCTTATAGTCAAATTGAGTATCTCGACGAGATAAATCCAATGGGAACATGATTGCTTAATGTCAATATCATTAAGAAACCAAAATGCGGAAAGAATGGTCTGTGATTAAGGACATTAATAAGGGTTGTCCGATAAAGTATTATAGATTTTAGATATATTTGTAGGGCATGCCATTCCAAAAAACTCTAATTAGGCTCTTACTCTCAACATGAGAGGGGAGAGCTTAGACCTTTTGTTCAACTAATGTCAAATAATTATGGAGGAATATTCAAATAATATAAATAAATTAATATCTTAAATTAATACATCCATTGATACTATGTAGGCCCTCAAGCTATTACCTCATAGGCTAGGTGAATCAACGAGTGCTCAATGGAGTAAAAAAAAAGGACGAAAATCTTTTGAAGCTTATAAATACTTTCAACAATGTTTGTCTTTGTTATGATTGATCCAAGATTTATCTTTGTACCTTCTTTTAGTTAGTTTTCTTTATAGCCTTTATGTTACTTTGTTTAGTATCTTGTGTAACTATTTGAGCTACCATTTAATATCTATAAATAGACACATAAGCTTATAATAATTCAAGCTAGAAAGCAAAATAATTGAAATCCATTTCATATTTTTTGTTATCTTCCCTTCCCTCTGTTTCTCAAGAAGCTCAAGAGGAAGAACTCCTTCCTTTCAAAGAAGATACAACAAGTAAGATCAGAGCAAGATGAATGTGGAGGAAGTTTTCTTGTCCAAAGAAAACGACTCAGAGGAATTAGGAGGGAGGCTCGGTGCCGCTGTCAGGATGAAGTGGACCACATAAATGAAGTTCATGTAGGCAATCATGCATGGGAGGAGCACGCGGGAGAATAAGCACGAGACGCACAAGGTGCATAGAAGAGCACGATGCACCCAGTGCATGAGAGTCACGGGTGAGCAACACATAGGTCGTGTTGGCGGAGTGTGCATAGGGAGCGTGGTTGTGCTGAGGTGTGCGCTGACATAGGGCGTGTGCGCGCATGAGCCATGACAAGCATCTTCAATCATTGCGTATCTTCAAACAATTGTTGCCTACACAATTGATTAGTACCATATATTTTAAAAAAATGCCCCTCATACATATATTGCAGCATGCATGATAATTAATTTAAACATACTATTCATCATCGCAAGATGCATTTAGTTATAACAAGTGCATTGCATTTGAATGTCAACATGTTGCATATGTACGTGTCATAACTCACGGAATACGTTATACGGGTATGTCACTCGATATTGCAAGTATATTTCAATGTGACACCCGGCATGCATTTGTAGGGTACCGAGGATTTCATTATGGCGTGTCATTCCGACAACGCTATTATATTTCAAAATAACCTTCCACGTGCATCTGTAGGATGCAGAGGATTTCATAATAGCATGTCGCTTTGACATTGCTATTGCATTCCAAAAATGACCTCTAGCATGTATTGGTAGGATGCAGGATATTTCTTTCAAAAATTTTATTTAACATTGTAATCACATTCAAAAACACCCCTGCATGCATTTACAATAAGCAGAGGGTTTCATTCCAGTATGTCATTTTTGACAATACAATTGTATTTCAAAATTGTATTATGCACACACGTGAATGCATCATGCAATATACATGTGACAACATATACCTGCATGAGCTCCTACAAGCATGTTGTAGACACACACGTGCGGGTTAAGAAGTAAGTTTAAATTTGAACTCGATCCTCTATTGACAAGTAGGTAGAGTCGACAATGTTCAAATTCATAAAATAAAATAGCTCATAAACACCCTGATATTGGCCGTGTTGAATGTAAATCTCAACCGCATGGGTTAATTCTTAAAAATCTACTAAAGACATTAAACCTACAATGAACCCGATCCTCTGTCAATAAATAAGACATAGTCGACAAGGTTTAACCAAATAAAATTATCCATAAGTCAACCTGATGATGATTGTGTTGAATGCTAATCTCAATCAGAAGGGATTCCAAAAAATTACAAAGGCCTCCCAAATGTCCATAAAAATTCAAAAATATCAAAATATGAAATATTTAAAATTAAAATTAACCATTAAAAATCTTAAAGCAAAGCCCATCCACTCTCTACAATGGTTTGCTGAGGTGGACAAATTTGAAAACTAATCCCGCTCACAAAGAACTAATGTCTAGTCGACAATATTACTATGATTCATTCTTAATATGTCTCTTGCTAGTAAGGATGTGACACATGTCCTTTAATCAATGATTTCGTCGCCAAATGGCACCTCAGGTAAACGGTTATGATCGGGACCCTTTGAACCGGGTGGTTCATTGCAAAATAGCACCGCTAAATTATGGTCATGGTCAGAGCCCGTATGCTGCTCAATGGCACTAAATCTTTGAGATATGAATTAATAGGATATGCTCGATAGGGCACAAAGCCCTATGTTAGTTAAGGTGGATTTAAATTTGTCCTCTTAGACGAACATTCATCACAGGTCTACGAGGTTCCCTTGGACGACGCAACCCATAGATGCCGACAAGGATTCTTTTGTTAGGTTGGGTCGACTACCTTCTTTGACTAAGTAGACCAAGGACCATGATAGTCCAGAACGACGGAACCATAGGATCTTGATCAGGCCCATCACCATTCCCCCGCCATCCACTTTAAGTGGAAGAAGATGAAACTTCAAATTTTAAATATCAAATTTTCAAATACCAAACATGCTGCTACTATATGTCGGATATCATGTATCGACGTATACGATGCATTCTTTTGGCTACTAGCCTTAATTGAAAGTTCTCTCTCGTTATCGGGAGGGATAATTAACTATAGGGGCTTACACCTATAGGAAATTAGAACCCATATCATAAAGTAATAGTAAAATGAGGGTGAAATCTCCGGGTACTATCTTATCTACAAGCCCAATCTATCTTCTAAAAATTTACCTAGTAATTTAATTCGTTAAAACTCTCCTGAAGGCCGGGAGGCCGGAGAGTGAATTTTTGGAGCCCACAACAAAATGACCTTCAATTTAGCTCGTAATTACCTATAATCGTTTATGTTTTGCATTTGTAACTACTTAGCTTCTACCAAAATTACCAACTTTAAATTTTAATCAGAGTTCGATGCACATCATTGGACACAAATACAACACTAACTTAGACGTTGCTAGTCTTAGTTATCCGATCAATGAAAGCTGTTACTCACAAGTCACATCCCTTAATAAGCAAACAATTATCCTCCTTATAGTAACTTCTTGCTCAAATTGGTCTGGTGACACACTTGAAATTCCAACGGCTAAGTCAGTCTAATTATTTTCTTCCAGCTTAGGAAAGTTGCTAATTATTATTGATATAATCATAGTACAATGTTTTGTAGGGGAGATATGAAATAATTTTTTAGCAACACAGCTGAAGGTTAAGGCAAAATGATTTTACTGTACTACTGTTGCTTATAGTTTGAAAATTTGCTCATTTGCAGGCATGCTTATTGTGAATGACTATTTGATTTTTTTTTCCTATTATTCATATCAGATTTAAACAACTCTAATATAAAATTAAATTTACGATATGATAGTCAAAATAATAAACATTTTTATATGTTGATTTTACAATATTAAGGATTAGTTAGCTTTTATATTTCAGGTAATTACCAACCAGCATCATTGTATGTGGAATACAACTTGATTTTCTTGGCTTCCTGGGCGTTTACTGTCTTTACTTTTGTTTCTGAAGTATATATCATGAGACACTGGTAGAATTCTGGCTTATGAAATATTGAGCATCCTATTATAAATTATATGTAAATTAACCCATGTCTATGATCACATAAAGATCAAATATTTTACTAAGTTTTCGAAGAAGAGCATATCAAGAATTTCCTTCGTAAATAGTTAAAAATAAGAATGGAGATACTACTTTATTTATGCCAATGATAAAAAAAAAGGCTTTTTAGGAAGATGAGGGTTAAATTTGGAGTAGTTTTTGTTATTACTCTCTTACATTCTTTATTGTAGTAGTCCAAATGAGAGCTTCTTCTTGCTATGGGCAAAAACTTTACCTTTTAATAGAATTGAAACTAGCAAAAGCAGATGAATTTCTTGCTGCAAACAACTAAAAAAACTCATCCCTTCTCTTTGGGTTGGCATCCTCTCTCCCTCTCTTTTCTCTATTTGCTTGTAGTTGTGGGATGCTTAATAATACAATACATTTGTCTACTTATATAATTCTTAAAGTGGTAAATAATAAACTTGTAGAAGTTAAATATTGTTGGACAACATATTCATAAAGAATAAGATTAAGTCCTAGCACTCCTTGATTTGGTTGAGAGCTTTACATAGTGTATTGGGGTGGATGTACGGTTTTGGTTGCTATTTTTTTGTTCTTAGAAGATTCTTATGAAGTATAGGAAGAGCTGTGTAGAGTGTAGAGCAACTGTTAGAGAGAAGAAGCATGCAAGTTTATGGAAATCAATATAACTATCTATACTCACCAAACATTTGAAGTCACTAATTTATGTTGTCTCATTTCTCATTTGTTTATTATCTTCTTATCATATTTAAAGTTTCCTCCATCTTCTTATAAGTTTTGTTAAATCACGATGACATACGAACTCCTCAAAAGATAAATTATTCTATGTGAATTTCGAACGTTGTCTGAAGACTAATCAGAATGTGACACGTCACCCATTTGCTTGGTACCGTGGCTCGGTACTGTTTGGTACCGCAGACGTGGCTGCAATTGATTCGCCTATGAACGTAGAGTTGCGTCCCCTCAGAATAATTTCTCCCTCAAAGAATGCCATAATGAATGTATGTGAGAAAATGATTGGAAGGCGTTATGCCTTACAATTAATCAATAATAGAACTTTTAAAAATTTTCTTAGAAATATTATCAAGTTTGAAGTAATTTATAGAAAAAAAAAAAAGTTCCCCCCCTTTTTTTTTTAAATCAAAAGTTTTGATCAAATTTTGTCCTTCAATGCTTTTCTATGAAACCAAACATAATAATAGTGGGTGACCTTAAGGTGGGTAGGTGGCTAGATTTGGCATGGATATTTAGTTTAAGGTGTGAGGGTATATTCTGGAGTTGTTGGTGTGATAGTGAAATATTTATATAGGCTATTATATAACTCTTGGACTACTCTCATTTCATATTAATTATTATACCAGAATGCGTCATGTCGCTCCTTGCTAGGTACCGCAACTCGGTACTGCTCGGTATCGCTGACATGAAACATTTTGATTGGTCTCTAGATGGTGTTCTACATCCGATCTCCACACAGTAAAGAGGAAGAAAATTTTGGAGAAAAAGATAGAGGCTGAATTATGAAATGAAAAAAGTTCCAACCAAATGCATTAAATATTTACATTCCAACAAAATTTTCATAAGTGGCTGTCCAATCTTTATCCCAAGGCGAACAGAAATAGTTTCAAATGATGGACCTATTACAATAGGCTTTAATTGGGCTTTAGCTCTTGCTAGTGTAATTAAACTTGTGGGCTGCTTTAGCATGTAGATAATACCATCCATTCAACTATAATCTAATATTCTAAAAGATTTATATCCTTTTCTTCTATGATTTTATTTGAGAATTAGAGTTACCTTTTTGCATCAATATTTATGTAACATATTTATAGACATTAGATAGGTTTTTTAGAAATATATAAAAATATTTTATATAAAATCATTTAGTGGTGTTGAATTTTGCAACCCAACATGATTAATACATTATATTTAATTCCCTCTCTCTTATGTGATCATCATTTATAATTTATGCCATTCCCAAGCCTAAATCCTTTTAAAAATTTAATTCCTATTACCAGTTTGATGTTAGTAATGCGAATTAGGATTTGTTTGCGAATCTTTTTATAAATATGCATATAAAATTTTCATATAATAAAAAACTTTTTTTTAAAGCTTCTATTAAAAGTAGTTTTCCAGCAAGTTTTTTTTTTTAAATAACAAAAAAAAAGTAAAAAAAAAAATTATGATTATGATATGAAAATTAAAAGAATATAAAAATTACCCCAAATAAATGATTAGTTTTTTTATTGCATTAATTTTTTAAGAAATAAATGTTTCTCATTAGTTAAGATTGGCAAGCATGCTCTAAAGGGTTCATTTGTAATATATATTTTTTAAAATTAATTTTTGATGGTTATTATAGACTTCTCTAAAAAAATAATAATAATAATTTTCTTATTAATGCCACATTCTAATCGATCTAAAATTAGATATCACAGTAATCTATAAAATAAATTAATAAAGAATTTATCTCGAATATAGCTTTAATGTTTGAATTTATTAGATTGCAAGGTGTTATAGAGTAATTTTATTTAATGAATTGCCATTTTAGTTGTATTCTGGACTGACCCAAAACCATCTTGTAGAACAGCTCATGTTTTTCAAAGCTAAGTATGTCCCTACGAATTTATTAACAATTTTTCAGTCTTTAATCCATTCGGGTTTCATTTGCGATGATTTCTTATTGTTTTCTAAATCAATTTTTTAGTGCAAAAATTTTTTAAACTAAATTTTTTTGCACTAAACAGCTTCTTCAGAAAGCAGTAAAAAAATTATTTCAAACGAATATGTAACCAAATTAAGAGCCCAATTGAAGCAAATAAGGATTTGAATTCAAATTTTTTGTATGGTTATCAGAGCCCTACATGGGGTCCTGCCCTTTGCTCTGGCAGGTTTTTTCCACCCACGCCCACCTATGGTGACTTACGGAATGTCATACCTACCCACACCCATCCACTTTTCACGCTTTTTGAATACAATCTGCACGAATTAATGGCCTTGAGGTTTTTTGTCGTTTTCTCTGACTGCAAACTTTCAAGTCACATATATAAATCTATCGTGGTCGCGGCGTTGTTCAGTGTTATGCATTGCGTTGTAAGAATTACTGTAATATATTGCATGCATATGGTGATTAGTAATGTAAATTAGTTTGTACTCTAATGTTGAGTACATGCCCATACGCACTCACGAGGCCATGGGCGTACCCATACCCACCCATGGACATTGGGTATGGGTGGGTACGTGGGTGGGTGTGGGTATGAATACCCAATGCAGGGCTCTGATGGTTATCTGATGATTGTTGCAGGAATATATTTTGAATTTATTTTAGTTCAAATGTAGTAAAAATTTGATCAAATTGTTATCTTTTGTTTTTTGAAAGAAAGACTGATCAATACATGTGCTATATTTGTTCCTATCCACCGCCTTAATCCTACTGAATACAATAAAATATGCCCCAGTTGGTGCTGGGGAAGCTAAGAAGTCAAACCCCATCTGATTACAACTTGCAAATTAAAGGTTTGTTTAAGACAAAGGTTTGTTCAAGAAGACTTCAACATCTCATAAAGTTTTTTTTTTTGGAAAGGGGTATTCACCCATTGCCACTCTCCCGAAAGGGCGCTTAGCAACATGACTAATCCTCGGTTGATCTAGAAGAGGCACCACCCAAAAATCTTCCGGCCCGCACTTGATTGGGCCCCACTTAAGAGGCCCTGCCGCTCGAGGGCATCAAGCACGGGTTGGGACTCGGCGACTCTCCCATCAACCAAGCTAAGCATCGATGGGTACATCTTATAAAGTTGATTGTGAAGTTATTATTATGAAAATAATTTTCCTATTATAGATATAGAAATTTTTTAAAAATGCCAATAAAGTAGTAGCCATATAAAATTATAATTATTACCTCAAAACATAAATAGCAAAAAAAACTATTTCAAATAAACTCTAAATCATTTTTGCTTTTTTTTATGCAAAAATAGTCTAATCATTTGGATTCTTATTATCTCCAATAAAAATTAATTTAACTTTACAGAATTTAATTCAAGCCAGTCAAATGAATGCCATTACCGAAAGAAAATAACAGCACAAATTCAGTTAACAACATCCAAAGAAAATTCGAACTCACAGTATATTAAATTGGACGGCCATGATCAATAGTGGTAAGGCGGCGGCGGCGGTGGCGGCGTTGGTGGAGGCGGCGACGGTGGCGGTCGCGTGCTGCAGCCGTAGGCATCACAGTGCACTGGAGTAGACAGAAACGCCGCGCACTCCTCCGGAGACCTCTGCTCCGGCCGCCACGGTATACAATTTCTCCGGTCATCCTGCCGCCGCACCTTCAAACATATCTTCGGCTCGTCGCAGAAGAAATTATAGGAGTAAGTGAAGTTCTTGAGCCTCGGCAGCTCGCATATCCCTTCTGGTATTTCTCCAGAAAGCAAGTTGTGGGCCACGTCGAGCTGCTCGAGCTTCTTCATCTCTCCCATGGTCGCCGGCAATGGCCCCACCAGCTCGTTAAAGCTGACGTCGAACACCGTCAACCTCTTCAGATTTCCAATCTCCGGCGGAATGCAGCCCGTCAGCCCCGTGTTTAGTATCACCTGCTCGAATTAATCTTCAGTTAATTATTATATTACATTTTAATCGGATCGAAATTTGTGTAAACAAAATTTGGGCTAATTTTATCTGTTTGATGATTTTTTTTTAATCTAAAAAGCTGATGAAATTAGCGCTGAATCAATCAAAGCTGCTCAAAATCTTTTAGTCGAAGTCACGACAATTCAGCTAAAACCACTAAAGGGGGAATATTGGGTAAGACAAACTGATCAAAATCTGACGAATGAATTTTAAAATTTATCATTGGGTTAATGTGCTACGTCATCTTTAACGATATATTTTATTTATTTTAAAATGAACTAACAAAAATAAATTTTATTCAACTGTGATTAGAATTACTCGTCAATTTTTTCGCCCTTGACTTTTTCAACCAACAAAATGTAATAAAAAATTCATCCAAAAAATGCTATATATTCTATGATTTCAAAATTGATAAAAATTAATGCTTTTCTTTTAAACCAGCTCTTTATTATTTTAAATATTTTTAAGAAAATAAATAATGATTGAAACTATTACAAATTTGAAATGAACGAAATTATCAAATTTTAAAAAGAAATTTCCCCGAAAAGAGTGAAAATTGTACCCTGGTTTTAGTCTAATTTTGAAAGCCTCAATCCAAAATCAATAAAAATTCATAATCATTCAATCTTGACTAAACCGACAAAATTAGACTAAAACCAAAGAAAAAATTACATGTATTTACGATAACAAAATATTAAAGACAATCTTGTGAAAAAAGTTTTCTTAATAGTTTAAAAAATAATAACAACTAATCAGATTAAAAAAAAAAAATATTTAGAACAAGTCTAACATTACCAGCTGGTTGAGCGTCTTCCCCATCCCGCCAATGCTCGCCGGCAAACACCCCCCAATCCTGTTGTTAGCAAGCACGATCACAGATGCCGTCGAATTTCCGAAATTGGCGGGAAGGGAAAAATTGAATTGATTATCATTAACAAAAAAAGCATCAAGTTTCGCGGCTGAACCACCGTTAAAAGCCTCCGCCGGAACAGCACCTCGAAACCGATTAAATCGAAGGTCAAGAAATCGGAGCTCGGGAAGATCAAGAACGAAATCAGGGAACGAGCCGGAGAGGCGATTATTACTGACATCGAGCTCAAAGAGTCGGCGGAGGTCGCAGAGGGAGGAGGGAAGCGTACCGGAGAAGCGATTGGAGTTGAGGTGGAAGAGGGCGAGGTCGGAGAGGAGGGAGAGCTCGTTGGGGAGAGTGCCGGAGATGCGGCCGTGATTGAGGTCGATTCCGGCGACGGTGGTGAGGGAAGGATCGTCGGGAGCAGGTGCGCAGAAGACGCCGGTGTAGTTGCAGACGTGGGGCCCACACCAGTCGGCGGTGAGGTTCTTTGGGTCGGAGGTGATGGCGTGCTTCCAGGCTTGGAGGGCTATGTAGGCTTTTTCAAGCCGGGGGTTGGGAGAGGGGTATTGGGAAAGGGAATGGAAGGGGAAGGAAGAGATTAGGAGGAAGAAGACGGAGGAGGAGAAGGATTTGGTCATTGGCATTTTAGGAGGAGGTTGGGATGGCGCATCGTGTGGGTTTTGGCGGGTTATTTATAGCATGATTTTCAATTCCCAATTTTTATTTATTAGTTAAACACAAATTTTATTTAAGAAATTTTTATTAGAATATTCTCATACAAAATGTATTAAAATTTGAAATGGCTTTTCATATGTATACTAAAATTAATATTATATATGATATTTTGAATTAGTAGAGTAAGTAAGTCAAGTTGACTCGTGAATTAGCTCGAGCTCCATAAGTTAATAAGCAAAGTTTAGGCAAGTTTGATTTGACCCATCACACAAGCGTGTTTGTTTAAAAAATATTACTAAACTTTATATTTAAATTTAGGAATTTAAATAAAAAACTATTAAAAATATTTAAAAGTTATGTTTCACTTTCTTATATATATCTAGTGATTATTTCTTGTTTATCTGCAATTTTTTAATAATGTTATTATAATAATTATTTGAATCATAATATTTATATCTCATTCTTTACGAATAAGTAAACTTGTGAGTGGGCGCGAACTCCTAGAGTTAAGCTCAAGGTCAAATTCAATTAATAGTAGACCATAAGCTCAAGCAAAGTGTATACCGTGGTCGGCTGGACTCGACTCATTTACACCTACATTCTGAATTGTATTAATCTCAATAAAAATTGAATGATTAATTGGTGGTTTGGTTTGAAAAAAGAATTCGATGTATAATGAATGCACTATAAAAGATATATTGTGGTGTTGTTTGGACAAGTTTAAAATAAATGCAACTGAATGCTTTTATTTTTATTTGATTTGAAGTAAAATGAAGTATTGTAAAGTCCAAAGATGTTGACGGCAACAATGGCTAACGGCGACAACAATGGTTGGTAGCCGACATCGGTGGGGGGTGTCATGCCTTAGGATCTATACTGGAAAATTTTCATCTAAAGTCTTGAAACAATATTATGCACAATTTCTAATAATTTGGTTTTTTTTTTTTTTTTAATGTTCATGTTTGCTTAGTAATGTTTTTTGTTGCATGCCATTAAGAGTATGTTTGTAAATTTTGAAATGTGCTTATTTATGAATCAATTATTGTAATACATTGAAATATGTACATAATTAATTGAAATAGGTGATTATGGAGATATCTAAAATGAGTGGAGGAAGTTTTGTTCTTGTTATATATATATATATTATTCAGAATTATTGAACTCTATATGCTGCTCATAGTTATTGAACTCTGTTTGTTGGGAGGCATAAGAGTCATAGTTATCAAACTCTATTTGTTGAGAGGAATATATGAAGTGCTTGTGTATTTTGTCTATATTGTTGATAAATGCATTTAATTCTCTGCATTGTTTTGCTTTTAATATTCATTGAGTGTTTAATAAATGCAATGATTTAAAAATTTAGATCGGGTGAAATGTGACATGCCGAGTTGTTTTAGCTAATAGATATTTTGATTCATGGTTTTTGGATCTGGGATGGGAAATGATCCGGTTGAGTAGCAGTTTCATAAATCTAATCTAAGTCTATAAGGCTGGTGATGATGGCCAATGGCGATAATTATTGCTTGGGCTGAGTTTACTTTGCCTAAAAAATGAACTACAGCACTTTATACTCTATTCCTTTTATTTTACTTATCATTCATTTTTAATCCAACAAAACGTCAATATTTTTAAAACACATAAAATATTTACTTTACAATTTGCACTCATTTTACTTTAAGCCAAACAACAATTGAAAAGTTCATTTAAATATACATAATACTTGAGGGTATTTTGTTATGATTTTTTTTTTCAAAATTTATTTTATTCTCAATAATTATATTATGTTCAAAACTATGAATTTTGTAGAAACAGGGGAGACAGAGAGGAATAGAGAAAAGGAGCATTAAGAAGAAAATAGTATTCTGTCATATCCTCTTGTGTATTATTACATCCTATATATAGATTCTATTATACAGCATAAGCAATATAAACGGTACAGATGATGTGGTACTAAGTGTTATTTAGTTTGTCTTCTAATATTCCCCCGCAAACTGAGGGATCTTGAATGATCGTTAGTTTGAGTCGAAGAGCTTGAAATCTTGGTGTTGACATATTCTTAGTGAATATATCGGCAACTTGATCTATCGTGCTGATTGGAAGTAGGCGGATGTTATTGTGTTGAATTTGATCACGAATAAAGCGTTGATCTATTTCAATGTGCTTTGTCCTGGCGTGAAAAACAGGATTGTTCGCTAATGCGATCGCGGAGGTATTATCACAAAATAGCTCAGCTGGGCTATCTTGGGACATGTTGAAGTCGGTTAGCAGTCTTCTAATCCATATGAGATCCGCTGTTGCTGCTGCAAGTGCTCTATACTCCGACTCGGTGGACGATCGAGCTACCACCGTTTGTTTCTTGGCAGCCCATGAAACGAGTGTTGTGCCGAGAAAAGTGCAATGTCCGGTTGTAGATTTCCTGGTTGATGGGTCACCGGCCCAATCGACAATCGGCGTCGGAGAACGATCGTAGCTGAAGGTCCGATTTGTTGATTGGAAGACCAAAGTCAAGCGTCCCGCATATGTACCTGAGAAGACGTTTTAAGAGATAGCAGTGATTAGGTAGCGGATTATGCATATGTTGAGATATAACGTTAACTGCAAATGCAATGTCAGGGCGTGTCAAGGTTAAATATTGTAATGATCCTGTAATGCGTCTGAATGTTATAGGATCGGAGAGCAGCTCATCCGCTTTAAATTCGAACGGAGTTTTTGTACACGTCGGATTGGCCAGAGCCTTGCAGTTCGTCATTCCGGCTTGCTGAAGAATTGAAGCCGCGTAGGTTTTCTGTGAAAGAAAATAAGAATGATTAGTTCGAGTTATAGAAATACCCAGAAATTGATTTGCATAACCGAGTTTCTTTAGATTAAATCGAGCTGCGATTTTATTTGTTAACTCGGTGATAGCATGATTGTTGTTCCCGGTGATCAGTATGTCATCGACGTAGATCAACAGGTACAATTGCGTATTGTCTTTGTTGTATGTTAGAAGCGACGGATCTGCTCGAGTACTATGGTTGAAGCCGAGGGAGAGAACATGGTCTGTGAACGTGTTATACCACTGTCTTGGCGCCTGTTTAAGGCCATATATTGCCTTTTTTAGACAACATATGTAGTTTGGGTTTATGGAATCTTCAAAGCCCTTTGGTTGCCTCATATAAACTCTCTGACAACGTCCCATGGAGAAAAGCGTTCTCCACGTCGAATTGTTGAATATCCCAATTGTGGAAGAGAGCAACAGTTATGAGTATGCGAATCGTAGGTAGTTTTGCGACGGGGCTGAAAGTCTCGAGATAATCTATGCCATGCTCTTGATGATTGCCCTGAGCCACTAGCCTGGCTTTGAATCGAGCGACCGAGCCATCTGCGTGTCGTTTTGTACGAAATGTCCATCGACATCCTAATACCGGAGCAGATGGAGGAGGAGGGACAAGGTTCCATGTTCCTTGTCTTTGTAAAGCTAGGAACTCAGATGCCAAGGCTTGACGCCATGCAGGGAATTTGGATGCTTCCTGATAGGTTGTTGGATCGAGTGGACTGTTGTCCGATTGATGATGTATGAGATTAAGTCGATTGCGCGGTCTAAGAGAACCAGTTCTGAGACGAGTAACCATTGGATGTTGAGTAGTGGTAGTCTTGGCGGGAATGTTGCAGTTGCTGAGAGATTTACTTGGTTCCTGTGATGGTTCACGAATAGGTATGTGAATAGGTGATGCCGAATGTATCTGTCTTATTTGTTGAGCCGTCTGAAGATTTTGAAATTCTGAATTTTGCCTGGGCGATAGTGTATGAACCGACGAGTGAGGCATTAGAAAAGCAGGAGCCGTGTTTTGAACATTAGATGGCTCGATCTCTTGATCAGTTTTAAACAGAAACGAGTCCTCAATAAATGTGACGTGCCGAGAGATCGAGACAGAGTTTGTTGAACGATTGTAGCACTTGTATCCTTTGTATTGATCTAAATAGCCAAGAAACACGTATGAGATATATTTTTGTTGTAATTTATTTCGGAGAGTATGAGGTGTTAGCGGAAAACATTCACACCCAAAAGTTTTAAGGTGCGAGTATGATGGAGGTTCTTTATATAAAAGTTGAAAAGGTGATACCGACTTCGTGTTAGTAGAAGGTAGACGGTTGATCAAATATACGACAGTGAGAACGACATCTGTCCAAAGCTTGGCCGAAAGTGAAGCTTGATGTAACAGAGTTCGAGCTATTTCGATAATGTGACGGTGCTTGCGCTCTGCTACTCCGTTTTGTTCCGGAGTGTAAGGACAGGATCGTTGATGCTCAATACCGTTGGTTTCCAGAAACTTGCGAAACATATTGTTGATATATTCCGCTCCACCGTCGGTTCGGAGAATTTTTATTTTAGAATTGAATTGATTTTCAATAAGTTGTTTCAATTTCACAAAAGTTTCAAAAACTTCAGACTTGTTTTTGAGCGGAAAAAGCCAAGTAAACTGAGAGTAATCGTCAACGAAAGAAACATAGTATCGAAATTCTTGATTAGATGCAATCGGGGATGGACCCCAAACATCAGAATGTAACAGTTCTAAAGGATTAAATTTTCTATTGCTAGATCTTGCAAATGGAAATTTGTGGTCTTTGCACGATTTGCAAGAGATACATTCTAAATCTTTAACAGAAATGTGTAAATGCGGTTGCATAGAAGCAAGAAGACGTAAAGTTTGGTTGTTCGGATGGCCGAGCCTATTGTGCCATGTGGCTGACGGAGCTTTGTTTGCTGAGAGAGCAGAAATGATCGGCTGAGACGAAGCTATGGGGTATAGACCTTCTTTACAAGGTCCATGAAGAAGAGTGTTGTCCGTCATCAGGTCCTTCATAACAAATCCATTAGGAGTGAAGGTAATCGAAATTTTGTTGTCTCTTACAAGAGTTGATATTGACAAAAGATTATAAGAAATATTTGGAATGTGAAGAAGATTAGACAAAATT